CTTCACCTTCAATATAGGTAGACCACATGAAAATCCTGCTGTTTGCCAGTATAATATTCTAGACACTAGACATGTTGCATGTGTTGGTATTAGATGTTTCACTCATAGTAAATTAAATTATTTACTAGCTGACTGTCTACCCTCTGTTTCTGACTTTTTTTTTAATGTTTGTCACAACAGACTCATGTATTTTCTACTACCTGTATCAGACCTTAAGTAGAAGCTGTCAATCAATCACAGTTCACCTTAATACCAGCCAAAACAAACATGTGGTCACAGAGTGAGCTGTGTTACTTTATATCAGTTTTTTCTTCCTCCACCGTTTCTGAGAAAAAGCATTCACCGTGTTAATAAAATCCAGGGCTGTGACCAGACCATTAGATACAGACAACTAATTATGTACTCAGTGCTAGAAGGAATGTTTCATTTTTATGGGGATGGACTCATCTGGTGATACTAAAAGTGAATACAGGACATGCAAATTAAGTTAAGGGTAAAAACACAATAAAATTAAAAGATTTTTGTTTTGTTCGTTGTCTTAAGCAGTCAGTCTAATATCCGCGTGTAGGCGTCAAGGTGCAGTTTTTCAGAAAAAAAGTCTCTATATTGACTTTAAAATATCATAACCTTCTGGGGTTCAGGTTTATTTTGGTTAATTATTGTCTGTGCATAGCACCTTTTAGCAAAGAGTTTTATTTCAGCACAAATGAGATATAAGTCTGATATCTCTGTTTATTTAGCTAAGTATAAAACTGCTAGTGGGACCTAAAACAAATAAAAAAAATAGCTTAAGTGATAATCACTCAAAATATTTTTATAGAACAGTTCAAGGTTGTAAAAAACTTTCATTATTTATACACAAAGGTAGAGCAGATATCTGTTTACACTTGATCAGACTTTTTCCATTTTTTGTGCCTTTCTCAATAAAGTCTATATTATGTATAAATAATGATATATGTAAATCACTGAAATTTTAAATAATTTTTTGTAGTATTTTTCACAGTTTTAAAAGTATCTCGCTCAAATGAGGTTCTGTATTGAAAACACTGGACTGGTTTTCTCAGCTTGTTTTCACACCACAGACTGGGACATCCTCTGCAGTGCTCATGGAGAGGACATAGACGGCCTCACACACAACTCCCACCACTGTCACCTACAAAAGTTCTCTGATGACACCACCAGTGTTGGATGTGTATCGTGGGGGGATGAGCGGGAATACAGGGGGGTTGTTACTCACTTTGTGAAGTGGTGTGAGGAAAATCGACTGGTCCTGAACACCAGTAAGACTAAAGAGATGGTGACTGATCCCTGGCGGAAATCACCAGCACTCACTCCGGTGAGCTTTCAGGGCTCAGTCACTGAGATTGTGGACACCTTTAAATACCTGGGGGTCCACCTCAACAATAAAATGTACAAGAAGGGCCAGAGCTGCCTCCACTTGTTGAGGAGACTGAGGTCCTTTGGTGTGCGGGGGGCACTCCTTCGGACTTTTTGTGATACTGTGGTGGCATCTGCTGTTTTTTACACTGTTGTGGGCTGGGCGGTAGGTAGCACGGACAGGGACAGAAAGAGACTGTTACATCCCCAGTGTAAGAAGGAGCGTTACCGTAGGTCGTTCCTCCCCACAGCAATCAGACTGTACAACACATCACTGCAGGGATAAGCTAGGTGAAAGTATGAGGGACTATGTAATAGTCAGCTGAGGTGCAATACTCAAATCCTGGGGTAACATGCATGGTTAATATGCACATATGTAAATTCTGTTCTTGATTATTCAAATACTTGATTCTGTCTATTTTTGAGTACTTGGAATTTTTTTATCAGGATGTGTGTGGTGTTTGTTCATCATGGTGTTGTTTGTTCTCCATTGCTGAAATTTCCCCATTGAGGGATCAATCAAGTACCTTCCTACCTACCTAAATGAAGTTATGTTACTATTAATAAAACATTCTTTGTGTGATTCCAAAGATTCCAATGGGTTAAATCAGGGCTAATTACAATCAACAAAATGAAAACTGAAAGATTAAAAATTTTAATTTCATTCCCAGAACTGAAAAGAAGCCGAAAAAGAGGAGCGTACTGTATGTGGCTGCTATTTGTCATCATTATTTCGTTATCATCTAGTTAAGGATGTTTTGGATTAATTTAACTTTAAAAATGATTACATTTGGCAAAAGTTTGAACCAGAGAAATTAATTTTAAGTGCGTAAATCACTTGTAAAGTTCTACAGATAAACTATTGCAAAGTACCATCAAAACCTGTTTTGTCCTGAGGTATGAAAAAACGTTGCCCAAGAATGAAGTTAAATGAATCCAGAAGGAGGAGAGAGAGAAAATAATCCTGGCAAACAAAAGAAATACTCACCTTGTGGTGGGTTATTCAAGTGTGTGTTTGACAAATAGAGACAGTGAGAGTGTGTTACACAGAGGGAGTCACACTAGAACAGCTGCTGTGATTATTGTTATGCTCCTAGTTTGAAAAGCTGCCAACAAGAACAAGTGAGGAAAGGCCACACAAACACACTTGTTTTGATCTTGTTATGTACGTATGTGAACGACCAAGGAGTGAAATCTAACACCTGAATCTCTTCTCTCTTGTCCTTCCCCTGCCTCTCTCCTGTCCCCCCAGCTAAATGAAACAGCTAAGCAGTTAATGGAAATCGACAAGCCTACATCAACTAACGTTCCAGGCCCGAGCTCCGAGCCAGCCCCGCTGGGCCCTTGCTCTCCTTGCCCCTCCCCCAGTGTTTCACCATCCAATGGGAATGGCTCTGGCCATCGGAGGGGTGAAGGAAAGAAAAATGCCAAAAAGCGGCATTCGTTTACAGCACTGTCCGTCAGCCAGAGGGCCACCCAGCTCAACAACAGGCACAGTATGGAGATCTCCCACCCAGTCCTCATCAGCTCGTCTGACCCCAGAGCTGCTGCACGCATCCAGGTACACACACACACACACACACACACTGTAATTTTAATATCCAGTGATGCATTTCCTTTCCTTTCTATTACATGACATCATCATGAGTAAAGCTTCTACTAAGCTGTGCAGAAGTTGTACAGTACTTTTCGTAAAGGGTGGCTCCTTTTGTAATGATATTACTTGATTATTGTTGCTAAACAATGTTAATTATTAACCGTAGATGGCGAAGATTCAGCTGATTGAGCTTGAAGCTGTTTTATTGTTTAGTTGGTTGTTTAGTCTTTCACATCAGATCGGATTTTGATATTTTTGTATGTAAAAGTCTAAATGCAAAAAAGCATATAATGAAAACACAAGTGCATGTATCTCAGACTAAAACTACTTAAGTTTAGTAGCTGAGTACATGCACTTTACACCTCTTATATGTATATGGCCATAAGTTTAATTTAGGTTTATAATAACATATTAATCTGAGGCCATCCACTTCTGATGTGTTGATAATGATTCACCTGCATGTTGCTTATTTGTTGTTGTTAACCTGCAAGTTGGCACACTGGGGGGGTCCAAAATATTTACTGTAAATGTGATTTTCACTTGCTAAGAACAAACAATCGCCATGTCTTCCGATGAGGAAGCAGAGGCTGAGGGCTCAGAGGTGGACTCGTCCATCACCCAAGCTGAAGTCACTGAGGTAGTCAAGAAGCTTCTCAGTGGCAAGGCACCGGGGGTGGATGAGATCCGCCCTGAGTACCTTAAGTCTCTGGATGTTGTTGGGCTGCCTTGGCTGACCCGCCTCTGCAACGTTGCATGGCGGTCGGGGACAGTGCCTCTGGACTGGCAGACCGGGGTGGTGGTCCCTCTTTTTAAGAAGGGGGACCGGAGGGTGTGTTCCAACTATAGGGGGATCACACTCCTCAGCCTCCCCGGGAAAGTCTATGCCAGGGTACTGGAGAGGAGAATTC